TTTGCAGTTTTCCAGTAAATCCAGATTGATATTTTTTCAGTATTTCTGCCAGACAAGTCAAGCTCCCTTCCCGAATCCTCATCATTTCCTTTCCATCAGTGCTCCATTCCAGTAAAAATGCAAACCTCTCTGACACCATGACCCATTTACCCTACCCACCATCTCCCATCTAGCTCCTTTTCTACATGAAACACAAAAGAATTTCTAGTCCTGATCCTCTGATAGACATAAATCAAAGAATTCTTACACCTCTCAAATTATACATACACAACCAACACATGAATGCAGCACCAGGCTTGGCTTTCAGATGGTCAATAAAATGCAAAACACATTAATAAGGTTAACCTGTCAGTGGAGAGGCTCTTGACACTATTAGCATGTACTTCAGACTTCTCAGCCTCAGAGGATCATGTAGATCAGTCTGCTCATGGCCAATTTGCTTCTATAACACTGTCAGGCTTCACAATGTTTAGTTGTTTTTAATTGCAAAGCTGCTCATTTCTCTAAGGCTTTCATTTCTCATTTGCTCTCACTCATAGTGTCTGTAGTGTAAAATGGATGTCTGTCACTTCTTGTGTACAGTTTATTTCCTTTCTGTGTATAAATTGTCAGTGTGTGAGGACCACATTATGATGAAACCCTCACCACAGAGAGATGCCTTAAACTGCTCAATAAATACACCACTGTTTATTTAGTGAAGTAGCGTAATAAGTGGCTGTAGTGCATGATGGACATTGACATTTCATGAACCATGTCAACGTGTAACATTAATATTTAATAATTATTTTTTCATCACCACCATTTATTTTTCCTGTTATCATTCATCATTAGACAAACAGAGTGGTGTCCAAATCCGTAATGCAGACAGAAACAACGGAAAAAACAGAAACAAACTTGAGAGTAGGATGTGAGAGGAAAATGTCAGTTTTTCTTGGTGCAGCTTTGCTAAGTTTTTTTTTTTTTTTTAAGTATGAAACCATGTCACTAGGTGCTACATACCAGGTTTAGTGTTGCTTAGGCAAAGACACTATAATTTTTATGCTTAGGGTCACTGTCCTGTTGGAAGGTGAAGCTCCGCCCCCAGTCTCAGGTCTCTCACAGGATGGAACAGGATTGTCGTGTATTTGGCTTCATCCATCTCACTCTCATCCCTGATCAATTTCCCTGCTGATGAACAGCATCTCCACAGTATGATGCTACCAACACCATGCTTCACATTGGGGAGGGTGTTTTCAGGCTGGTGTTGTCCTATGAACAGCTTCTACCATCTGATCTGTGGATCTCTTCAGCTCTTTCAGAGTTCTCCGTGTCCCCTTGGTTGTTTCTCTGTTGCTGTGTTAGACGATGTATTGAAATGGTACACGTTGTTTTTACCCTGTAGCTTGAAAAACAAAGTTAGTGGGAAGGTTCTGCTTTCTTTAATGGCCATGATTCATCAATGTTGTGGCCTTTTTTTTAACCTTCAGTTTTGATTCTGCATTGTGACAAGCTCAAATAATTAATAAATCCCATTGGCAGTCCTTTAAAAAAAAAATTTCTGAGCATGAGATGAAGCACATACATCCTGACATGTGGTATGTGGTAGATATCACCATTAAGGAGCCTAAAAAAAAAAAAAACCATAAATACCTTGCAACAGCATGCAAGTGTCACACTGTGGGCCTTTTATACTCATAGCAAACTAAATGCACTCCAATTGACCTGACAAGCAAACCTTAGAAATGAATCATAATCACCAGACAGTGACTCATGAAGGATAACTATCCTCTTTTCCTTGAAGCAAAAATGACAGCTATAAAGATTATTTGGTGTTTCATTGGAACATAGCAGTAAATATTAGCATCATTCTGAGACAAACTTTCTCAGCGCTTAGTTAATATGACTCATAGAGAAACTGATCAACCGATTAGCTTCATTTGTTAAATTTAACCATAATGTGTGTCTTTAGATGATGGTAGCATGTGGCCTAGCATTTGGCCTTTATGTTTGTATAACAAAGTTATTAAAGGGGGAAATATTGGCAGGCAATACAAGTACAGAAGGGTAAATGTGGTTTTTACCTTCACATACACTCATATTAGATTTCCACAATATTTTGAGCTTGTGTTTTGTTATTCTTATACCTTACTGATGCCTATTCATCTTCTTATTTAGTTATATACTTATATAACTTATATGTCAGATTGCTCAACAGCTTTTTCCCCTAGGCTGTGAGAGCCTTCAACTCCAATCTCCCTGTCCCCCTCTGAAACCTCATCCACAACCCTACCTCCTGAAACCATGTACACCTCACCCCCTCCCCCCAACTCTTGAAAAACTGACAATCTGTTAAGTGCAATTCTGAGTGTGCTACACACAGGTGAGTGGGCTATACAAACCACCTGTAGTAACACACTCTTTTCTCTGAATGTACACTGAACACTTTTTATAGACACTCTCCCACACAAAGACTCAGTTTGATAATATATGTTTACTTGTGCATTGCACTACAAATCATCTTGCACTATTCCCCCAAAATATCTCTTATGCACAATTCCATGTACAAAATACCTCTTTTGCACAATTTCATTTACAGTATCTACAGTATGTAAAGTACCTATGTAAAGTCTTTGTATAGTTTTTGTAAAGTTTTTGTAAAGTATGTATAGTCAACTTAATTGTTTTTCTTATACTTCTATGTTCATATTTATGTTTAACTTGTATGTAGCACCGTGGTCCTGCGAGACACGACATTTCGTTCCACTATATGTCCACACATGTAGCAGAATGACAATAAAGCTCGACTTGACTTGATAATTACAGCTGCTTGTCCAACGTGAAGAGACTTGCAGTTAATCCAAGTTATAATGTGGTGTCATCAGACAGAACTCCTAATCAGCACAAATAACTAAAGAAGCTTAACAAAATTTCAGCAAGCAGAAAGTGGAGCACATTACATAGGTAATATACAATACAAAGAGCATCATTCTCAGCGTCATGTGAAGAGAAGTGTTTTGCTGCAGAAGATGTCATTGCTTGTACACTGAGCAGACATGAAGTTCATTCCAACATGGAAAAGCCAGAACTCAAAGCGGCACACTCTTTCTCCTCTGGATATGGTTCCTTCAGAGGCAGCCAGATGTTCTGAAGTGCATTTGAGTACTCATCAGGGAGATGGATGGAGACAGATTTATGTAACAGTGAAAAGAGAGCCCACAAGTAAATGTTTCCAGAACCTGAAGAAAATCAGACGGTTGAACTGATCCCTTGGGATCGCCATGCTTTGACTTTTGAATAAATATAAAGTAATTATAATTTTCACTATACTGTCAAGTATTTGTTCACATTTAAAACAAACAGAATGTCCTGTTCTTCAGTTAAGCAGCTTGTCTGTTTCCTTAGCTGAAGAACAAGACACTGCAGAATGATGAGAGATTATTTTTGCAGAAATGCGCCATGCTCAGTGGTTAAAGCTTGTGGTCAGAAGTTCCTACCTGCATCTGAAGTTGTACCAGTTCCACTGTGCTGCCATGCAACAGTTTAGCATTTGAGCAAGTCCCTCAACTCTGAACTGCTCTATGGACATCCAAAAAGTTCTGCACCGACCTGTGTGTAAAGAGACAAGTTCTTATGTCCCAAATAAATTTCCAATAAAGGGTCTATTCCATTCTTATTCTATATGAGTGAGTACTAAGTGTTCAGAAAGGATGAAAGGAACATAGCAGGTAGGTAATAACTTTTGTAATTTTGTCTGTCTCATTTTTTTTTTCTCTTTAACACTATGGATTTCAAATGTTTGGCAAATTGTGAAACAATTTTAGAACTTGGTTCAGGTTTTAAAAGCATGACCTGAACCTAAAGCAAGTACACTATGGGCGGATTGTACCAAATGGAAGTAAATTCTCTACAAGGTTGGTTTAACAGCTACCAGCTGCCAATATACAGGCAGAACTGGTCCAACTGGTAGACTGTCTTTGCCAGGTGGTAAGTGCTGGGAAACATTAACAGTTTCCAAAAGATCGCTACCAGAATGCATTACAACAAAGAAAACTCCACAAACACATCTCAAAATAAACTGCTCTATCAAAACACCAAGAACATCAACAACACTGTCAATCAAAGCGCATAAAGAGTTGGTGCACCATATTATAGATACCTTCTCATTCATGCAATTATCCAATCAGACTATCATGTGATTATCCAATTATCCAATCAGACTATCATGTGGCAGCAGCACAATGTATACTATCATGCAGATCCAAGTCAAGAGCTTCCATGATTTCAGTGACTGACCGTGGCATGGTTGCTGGTTTGGGTATTTCAGAGACTGCTGATCTTCTGCTGGGATTTTCAAACACAACAGTCTCTAGAGTTTACACAGAATGGTTTCGAAAAACAAAAAACATCCAGTGAGCGTCAGTTCTGCAGATGGAAAAGCCGTGTTGATGAGAGAGAGTCAGAGGAGAACGGACAGAGCTGTAACGGTAACTCAGATCATCACTCTTTACACTGTAAACCCTAAAGTCGTCTTTACTTAAACAGTCAAGTCATCATGACTAAACATTCCTTAAAATGTTGTGGTTTGTACCTATAAATCAAAAATCTAAGTTTGTTTAACTTATTTACCTACAAAATACATAAACTGAAGATTTCAAGTGTTATGAATCATGCTTCATTAAAATAGCTCACTCTGGTCTTTCTTTGATGTGATTGGCCATGCGAGGAGTTCCGCCTGGCAACAAGACAACTAACGCTCTGATTGGTAGATAACTGCAGAAGGCGGTCCTCTTCATCTGTCTGTTGCTGGTGCTGGTGTAATGAAGTTCTGGAGATGATCATAAGTAGGAGAGGTGACTCTGTGTGTGTTTACAAAGAAATGACAATCATGTAGAGGATGATTTGTAAATAAAGCTACATTTTGCTAAAATGTCTCTGTATGGAGACTTTTGGGACTCCCTGTATTTAAGTACACCTGACATGAACACCAAGTTAAGTGATCTTAAGTATTTTAGTACACTGGTTCCCTGGTGGACTAGTGGCTAGCGTGCGGCACTCTCACTGCTGTGGCCCGGGTTCAATTCACGGTCAGTAAACTACAAACTACACTACACTGAACTACACTGAACACCAGGTTAAGTGAACTTAACAATTTAAGTACAGTCTACATGAGCACCAAGTTAAGTGAACTTAAATATACAAGTTTTGGGAGACCCCACTACTCGATTAATTTGAGGGAACGAGTTTACTCAATCAATTGAGTCCAGTCAACTTGTTAGGGTTTTCAGTGTACAACGTCTGCTGGAGGACAGGTGGAGATTGAAAAAAGACCGAGTGATGTTTTTATAATCTTCATCTTTGTTTTTTGCACCATTCTGTGTAAACTCTAGAGATTAGTGTGTGTGAAAATCCCAGGAGATCAGCAGTTTCTGAAATACTCAAACCAACACCCATGCCACGGTCAGTTACTGAGATCACAGCGATTTTTTAAATTTTATAGTTGTATGATTGTTTTATTATTATACCCAGTGCATGTGTAAATATTTCATCGTTCCTCTTACCTCTTTTTAAACATTAGAGAAACCCAGCTTTGGCCTGTAATCCACCTGATCATGCAATCTCAAAGCCTAATTTCTGGAGAAAGCTCTGGGCCACGTGCTTATTGGTTTCTCTAATGAGGACTTAATGCTGTCTCTCACTGCCAGCCTGTTTGCATCTCTGCTAATGTTTGGTCTGGGCCGTGGCCTCGGTCTATCTCTACTGAACCCCATGTTAGCGACTTAGCTTAAATGAGCGAAATTTGTTAATTTGAATGTGGCTTTCAGAGCAGCTGTGTCCATAAGAGAATGGGGAAGAGAACATGGACTAGGTTGCATTCTAATACACAATTAACACAGCCTGCTCTTAATAATCTCTAATAAAGACATCAAATTGCAGAGACAAATAAACATGAATTCTATTAGGGGTAGTACAAAGGTAATGACATGAATGTTTGTGGGGGAAATTGTTATGCTTTAAAAATTATTGTGTAACATATTATGGACATCTTTGTGCTGTTATAATGCTGTATAATTCTCTGGATGTTGGATATTTAAACATTTACTATATTCAGATATATTTATAGATATAAATGTGGTGCTCAGTAGATCAGTGATCATTAATAATGTGTGTATAAGCAACTTCATTTTCAGTATAAAGTTTCTTTACTGGTTCAGGCATTTCTGCCTTTAGAAACCTCAAATCAACACTCAAAAAAGGTTCTGTCTAGCAAGTGAAAGGATTCTTCAGTTTCTTTCTCTGTGAGAGGCCAACAGAAGTTTTTCCTTTCCTTGCCTTATGGATTTGTGTATCTACATCCATAGTTATTGTTTATGTTGCTAATATAAACAGGATATTCTGGGTCAGTGGAGCATCATCTACATAGCTAAGTAAGTGAACAGATGGTTAATGGTTGTCTTTCTCACACCATTGAACAATAGGTCTCGACATCAAATAAAGGAACCTGTGACTAATACCCTGCTGCTGGTTAACATATTAAACTGAATGAGCCTGAAGGTGAGATGGAGAGAGACGTGATGCAGACAATGTGCAGGGAAAGAGAAGAAGACGATTGCTGTGCAGCATCTAAACAGGTCATAAAGAAGTTGATCTTGTCCTCCGGCCTGTCTGTGCCTTGCTTATCCAGTTTCCCCGACTCCCACCAGCAAAATCAATTTGTTCAGGGTCATGTAATCAGGCTGTAATTCTAAACACAGTGTAAAGGCTTATATAAGGATTAAACTTCTCGTTAAACTTTATGTGTATATACATATATATATATATATATATATATGCACACACACACACCTCTGTAGCTCCAAAACCACTTCCACTATAGCTAACAGTCATAGAGATGTATGTTGTAATCCATAGCACTGTCTTTCTCACGTAAACCCACGCCATTATGACTCATTTATTGCAAAAACTGACTTTTTTCACGCTTTGTTGTCCAGAGGCCTTAGCGAACACTGGTATGCACAGGCTTTAGTAAGGGCTATGCTGTGATACTACCACTCTTACAAAACCCCCTCCCAAGCAGTGTGTAGTACGCAATCAGTAAACAACATGAATATTTCCAGTAAGTAAAAATACCCAGATGACGTACTACTCAGTGTACATCAGTGTATGTGGTGCAGTGCATCCCACAATGCAGCACAGTCATTTAATTAAAAAAAAAAAGGTGCATATTTATTCAGTTGAGAAATTCTACACTTACCCATATTCTTATTTGTGGTTTTAAGTAGAAATAAAGCTATTTATAGAATCGCTTGAAGAATAGGTGAGAGTTCATTTTATATCAGTTCATTCATTCATTCGTCTTCACTGAGTGCTTTATCCTGAATCCCGGGAACATTGGGTGCGAGGCAGGAATATTCACTGGATGGGACACAGTACATTTCATATGGCTGTTTTCAGTAATTGTTCTTAAAAAGCTCCTGTTCCAGAAATAAAGTTAAAGCAGTTCTTGATTGCCTTAGAGATTTTCTCTGCCTCATCATTTCATCTAGTGAACTAATTTTGGCTCACAATAACCATGAAAGTAGGCTACTCTACATGAAGCAGGAAGCAGTCTCCTGATATTTGTTTATTTGTATTTTGAAGCCAGACCCATGTATTCATATGGGGTAAGTTGGAAATGTAATGCAAAAATAAACCACCAGAGAAATACTGTACATGTACAGGAAAGTCTGCTATTGCGTTAAATTTAACAGTAAAAGTCAAATACTGTCTGACTTCCAGACAGGTTTGGAGTACAGCTGTGGTTTGGACACACACAGCCCCCATCCTGTGCACAACAGTATTGTAAAATCCCTCCCCAGGGTCAAGTGTGTGCTGGTCAAGCCCATTTCACCTTTCCGTTTAATAAGATACGCTGTCGTCCATTTAATAAGATACAATGACGTGAATTTGACACATCATTGTGGCTAAAGTGCACATTGTTTGCTGATGAACTTGCAGTGGTGAATGATTCGGATCAGTAGAGAGTAATGCACGCTGACCTGATCTCCTGTGCTCAATTACAGCACAATGCACACAGCAAATGAATGAGTTTATGGCTGCAGACAAGATATTCACACTCTGTTTTTTTTTTTTAACTGATTCATCCTGGATTGTTATTTAGCAATTTTAGGAGATTCATTCAAAGATGTTTGAAAGAGAACATGTTCCAATTGTGAACAGTTATATACCAGTGTAGCAGCTTCCGAATCCCTGGATCTATCAGGTCGGAAAAGGGGATGTACCAATATGTTGACTGACTTATTTTTAACCCCTGGTGGTACAGCATACACTTAATGTTGCCACTTCACAGCTCCAGGGTCCCTGGTTCGGTCCTGAGCTCAGTTACAGGCTGTGTGGAGATTAGTATGTTCTTGCCATGTCTTTCTGGGTTTCCTCTGGGTTCTCGGGTTTACTCCCAAAAGCATGTAAGTGGACTGGCTCTGGTAAATTGCCCCTAGGTATGAATAAGTATGTGTGTGTGTGGTGATCTGCAGTGGACTTGTGTCCCATCCAGAGTGTATTCCCACCTCACGGATACACTTTGGATCTACCTTGACCAGGATAAAGCAATTACTGAAAGTGGGTGAAGTTGCTATATCCATGACTGTTTAATCAGATGCTTAATAACTGTTTAAAAGATTTCACGAGTGCTCACTGAGTGGCGCAATCGAAAAGCATTCTTCCTATCATCAGGATATCACGAGTTTGAATCCTGAAGATGCTACAGCCATCTGTGGCCAGGAGCCAAAGGAGTAAAATCTGAGAGAAAATGAGGGGAAAAAAAAGATTTCACATGATCGGTAAAGCTGTGTAATGTGTCGTACTCTTCTCTAGCTATAGACCTGGTTGCTAGCTAGCAGACAGCTACGCTAAGCTCTTGCATAAGAAAAATATAATCATATATTTTTGCCAGTCCTTGCTTATGTAACACCTTTATCAAGCAAATGGCTTTAACCAGCTAGTCATTTAATTAATTGCTTTAAATCACAGTTATCACAATACATATTGTGCAAATTAGCTTATGTATGCATTGTGTAAACCGTTGTCACTGTATTAGCAAAAGGGCAAATCAGTGAATTCAGAGACATTATGATAAATTTGACATAAAAAGCCAGGATTCTGTAACTTTTGTTGTATTTCTTTATTGGCAGTGGAAATTTTCAACACTTTTGTTCACATGGAGTAAGAACTTTGTCTTACGTGATGTGTACCCAACTTGGTTGTGGTGGGGAATTTTTTTTCTGCATAAGCCTTCGCCTCAACTTGCTTGTATCTGTGGTTTGAGTAAGAACAAACAAGTTTTTTTTTTACCTCTCAGTTAGTAGGTGTAAATAGTAGATTGAAAAACTTTCCTTTGTTTGGTGTGGAGATATTTTAGGTGCTGAACTGCTTCTTAGAAAGAACCTGAGCTGGCAAGTGAAAAACAGCCAGAAACAGTTGTTATGATATTAATGTCTTATCAAGAGTGAATTGACTGTTACAGATTCACATCTACATTCATTTATTTTGCGAGGTTTACAGGCAGCACAAGTTTAAGGCTGTCATAGGAACTAACAGTGAAGATTAACACCATCTGATCAAAAATAGGCACAAGAGGTATTTAATAAGAACAAAAAGAGAGGCACACTCAGCACACCAACACACAACTCACACAAAGATATAGAGATGATCACAGCTGAACATTAGTGTTGGAGTAAGTGAGAGTACAACAAACAGGCTAAAGTCAGGATAATTGTCAACATGTTACATGCACAATACAGACAATACAGGAGGTCCAATATACCACGCTACATAAAGTGCGATTAGTGCATCAAGTGTTGAACAATTGAGCACAGGGATTTTCAGCCCCATTCAACAGGCAGGCTGGGGACATGCTAGAGGAAAAGATACAATCAGTATAAGCTATGCAAAGCAAACTGATGATACTGACATATGCACCCAGCAGCATATCTAGATAACATGTGGGTTAAATAAGTGATTATTCATCAGGGCCCTGGCACACTTTCTCCTAAGACAGAGTCTACTACCATGAATGAATTGGAGTTCATCTTTCATC